GGGCCTCACATGTTCAAGGCAAGCATTCTACCGCTGAACCACAACCCCAGCTCCTTGGGGTTCTATCTATGTCTTTGGTTAAATAATGATTCCAAATTTGATTATGAACATCCTTACAGATGAGTTAGCTTAGTTTGCGTTATCATTTTGAATTACCTTTCACAATTTATTTTTACATATTCATGTGGTTAAACATTTAAATTGTCTGATTTTTTTTCTTTTTGGTACCAGGGATTGAATCCAGGGGTACTTGACCGCTGAACCACACCCCCGCCCTTTTTATTTTGAAATGAAGTTCTGGGTAAGTTGCTTAGGCCTCATTAAGTTGCTGAAACTGGCTCTAAACTTGCCATCCTCCTGGCCCAGCCTCCAGAGTTGCTGGAATTACAAGCATGCTCCACCACACCCAGATAAATTGTCTAAATTTAAGTTCCCTTTTTTTTTTTTTCTGTCATTAAACTGCGAACAAGATTCTTACACACATCTTTGGACAATTATTTCATTAATATCCACTCCTAGAAGTAGAATTGCTAGGTCAAATTCCACCATGCAACCAGCGCACTGGTTTCATTAAAGAGGTTCTTGGCATAAAAGTTAACTAGTGAGATTGAAATAAACACACAGACTCAGTTACCTTTTTCTATAACCAGGTCCCAGATGGCTCCCCCTCTGGCTCCCACCTGGAACCACCCAGTAGGGCAGCAGGGATTACTCAGGGCTAGCAGGAGAGAGAGAGAGAGAGGGAGCACGCCAGGGAGTAGCCTTTGTTAGAGTCTGTAAAGAAGTCAAAATAACACCTGGCATTTTGCCAGGGGAATGTTAGAGTTCCTAAACAAGTCTGGATGGTGCCTGGCAAAATGCCAGAGGGAGTGGTTTGAGAAGTAACAAAAGCGAGCCATTAAGTGTGGAGATTCCTTATTGGTTGACTGATGTATCTAGTTTATGCTAATTAGATAAGTTGTGTGGAATGTGTAAATACTGCTCCTGTCCTGCAATAAAGGGCTCCTACTCCAGCTGTATCAAAGTATACAAGTTGTTCGTCACCCCCTCGGGTTATTCTGCTGCAGCCGGACTGCGGCAAGCCTTTTCTTGGGGAACAAGAAATTCAGGGGAGAATTCCATCCAATGAAGGTTGAGGGGGGCAGCACTCCAAGGTCAGGGTCAGTGATTGGCCCCAGGGTCAGTGGTCAAGTCACACCCCCACAGGGATAGGCTCTCTCACCAGGAGAGGGTCGGGAAAGCTCCCACACAGTTTAGCCAGAGCGCCTCAGACCCAAACTGGGAGTTGCCCAGTCACGTGTGAGAATGGCTCCCCACAGTTAAAGGATGTTTTTATTATTGATGTAGAGTAGGTTCCAGAAAGTTTGTGAAAATTACCTTTATAATTGTCACCAGGGAAGTGAATATTTCTTTAAATCTGTACCTACCCTGAATATTACTATAATTTTAATTCTCTTTAAATTTTACTTTCCAAAAATGTTTGGTGAATATTTTTTTCTTTGTCATGATGAACTTTCTCATATATTTATTGTTTATTTCCATTTTGTCTTTTATTCCTTTCCATTTCTCTCACCAGTGAGCTAGATGATAATGCTGACCTTTTCATTGATTTATAAGAGCTATTTATAAATTCAGGTGATAAAGCCTTTGCTTCTCATGTGTGTTACAAAGAGCCTTTCCTAGTTTGTCTCTAAACTTTGTTCCGTTTTTTTAAACGGAAGGGAAAGGTTTAATTTTCTCAAATAAAAATCCGTTTTGGCTTAATGATTTCTCATTCTGTTGTCATCCCCATCGATGGATGTTATATTATAAAATTCACTTTTGTTTTAGGAATTAACTTTTGAACTTTAAAATGTGGGATCCAAGTAAATTTTTTCTCTAAAGTGTGAACCCGGGATTTAGCCTTAACAGTGTTGAGAGTGCAAACCGGTTAGTGAATGTGAACTTTCCCACTAGAGGTCCTTCCAGTTCGCCTTTGTCCCAAACCTCTTCTCCGGCTTCTTAGGATCCTTTGTTTACTTATTTAATGTTAAAAATGTCAGGTGCGTGCCTAAGAGGGGTCAACACCAATCTGTCTGTGAGAATATGTGACAACATCCTCTTTCTTCTTCTTTTTTTTTTTTTAAGAGAGAGAGAGGTTTTTTTTAAATATTTATTTTTAGTTTTCGGTGGACACAACATCTTTATTCTATTTTAATAAATAAAGAACAAACGTCCTTATTCTATTTTACGTGGTGCTGAGGATCGAACCCAGCGCATGCCAGGCGAGCGCGTTACCGCTTGCACCACATCCCCAATCGTCTCTCTTCTTTTCGTTTGAGGGTCTTTTGATATACCTTCAATTTTCATGTATTGCTTTTTGAAATTTGTCTTCCCTTTCTTTTTCATTCACATTTAAAAATAATTATTTAATTATCTTGGCTGGGTTAATTTGATTACATTTTCACCTGCATTCCTGAATCTCTCCCAAGCTTGGAGGCTGCGGGGAGACCTGCGGACGAGGCAGAGGGGAGCGGGGTGGAGGTGATGTGGGGCAAGGGAGAGGAGGGAAGGGACCTGGGGGAATGGGAGAGGGTGGAGAGGATGTGGGGTGAAGGGAGAGCAGGGAGGGGATGTGGGGTGAAGGGATGGGGGGTGACAGGATGTGGAGAGGGCTGGGGTGAACTGGGGTGTGAGGGATGAGGTAATCTCGTAGATGTGAGAGCAGCGATGAAAAGGGGTGAAGAGCGGGAGCAGGGGGTGTGCAGAGACCCCGCCCAGACTGGTAAAGAGGGGCGGGCCTGCACTGGTCCCGCCCATGGGCGGAGCCTTCCGCACCGGGCCGGCGGGAGCGGGTCGGGTTCTGTGCGCAGGCGCTTGCTCCTCACAGTCTCGGCCTGGTGGGACGTGGTCGCGCGCGGGGCAGCGGGTGAGCCTCTGAGGCTGTGGGGAGGGCACGCGCGGAGCGCGGGATGTCAGCCTTCCCTAGCCGGGCCGTGGGCCCCGCGTAGGGTCGCAGGAGGCCCGGCGCGCGCGGAGGGGCTCTCGCGGTGGGGGTCTCAGTCCGCGGCCGCTGCGGAGGCGACGCGCTCCAAGTCCGCGCGCTTGGAGCCGGCGGCCAGCAGCTGCGGATCCCGGCCGGCGGCGGGCAGGTGAGGTGGAACAGGTGTCCGCGCCGCGCGCTGCGGGGCAGGAGTTGGCAGGCTGGCGGAGCCCGCGCTCGGGCAGCCCGCGTCCCTGTACAGCGCTGGCGGCCGCGTCTCGGCTGTTGCATCTGCGGCGCTCGGGCTTCCTGGGTCTCCGGGCTGCTCTGCACTAGTCCTGCGCCTTCCCGGCGCTGTTCGGTAGAAGCGTCTGCCCGGTGGACTGCGGCGCTTTTGCGCTGCCCAGGGCGTCCAGCCCTGGGACGTGGCCAGCCTGGCTTTGTCCCTAACGGTCCTGCTTTGTGTTTGTGGAGGCTACGGCCTCAGGTTTCTGGAACTGTATTCTTAAACACATCTGGGGCTCCCGGGAAAGTTCCAGCCAAAGTGAGTTTGCGCCCTGGACCCTGCTGGAACAAAGCAATTACTGTGATGAGGAGGGGGCTTCAGGGACAGGTATGACAGGCACCCCCGTCCCCCCAAACCTCTGATTCGAGATCTGTCAAGAGTTTCTGAGAAGGGGCCGAAGAGACCTAGAAAAGGGATGAGGCTTGAGTGATTTCACCACGTTCGGAAGCCATTAAAGACTGTGAGTCATTTGGCAGACAGAAGGGAGCCAGGACTGAGTGGTGGCCAGGGCCGGACAGTGCGAGAAAGGCCACCTCACTCTTTGGCAGGATGCTCAGGGGAAGCTTCTATCTTTAGCTTACCCTAAACAGCATCCCCCCGCCCCCCGCCTTTATTCGCCTCTAATTCTTTACAGAAGCCAGGCAGCTGTTAACCACCATCACCGTGTCTGGCACCAGAGATGTGGTGGATTTAGTCTTTCTTGACCTTATGGGGTCAGAGGAGGAGTAGCCCAGGGAAGATTTGCCAGGCTATCAAATTTTCTCTATTTTGAAAGAAGGAAAGAAAAAAAAAATGTGTGTGTGGGTAGGGTGAGACCTCAAATGGGAAATGACTT